GGTCGTGTAGTTTTAGAAAAGTGGTCTATAAAACGGCGGTAAAAATTAGAAAATCCAATGAATCTTTGAAGTTCGGTAACGTTGCGTGGCGCCGGCCAATCTCTGACAGCTTTAACCTTGGTGGGATCCATCTTGATTCTGTTCTTCGAAATTAGGAGACCAAGATATTCAATTTCGTCTTTTGAGAATTCACACTTCTCCGGTTTAATCCAGAGGTCGTGTTTGCTTAGTATATCAAGAACTCCATCCACTGCTTCCTCATGATGCACGTCCTTCTTTGTATAAATCATCGTATCATCCAGGTAAGCAGCGGTGTCTTTACCAATCCTTCCCAGTAATATGTCCTGGATGAAGTACTGGAAGTGTCCTGGAGCTCCCGTCGGTCCAAAAGGCAAGGTCAGGGGGGCGAATTGCCCATGTTTACAAATAAACGCAAGTATATCTTCGTGGCCTTCAGCAACACGAAGATTACCATATGCGTTACGCAGGTCCAACTTAGTGTATTTCTCCGCGTCCAAAAGGCTGTCCACTAAATCCATTGTCAGTGGAAGAGGATATTTATTCTTCACTGTCAATGAATTTAGCTTCCTGTAATCGAAGCATGGCCTCAGATTACCATCCTTCTTCCCGGTGAAGAGTACCGGGGCAGCCCAAGGAGATGTCGTTCGCCGAATGGTCCCATTTGCCAGGCCCTCGTCGATCATCTTCTGAAGTACCTCATTTTCAGCCGGAGATAATGGTATAATCTTGCTAGCTTGAGGTTGGGCGCCAGGCACGAGTTCCACCTTAAAATCGTATTTTCGCCTCGGAGGTAATCGTTGCGAGTTAGACTTGCGAAACATATGTAAGTGACGATGATAATAAGACGGAACCATCTCCTCGACTGCTTTAACTGGTTCTTGAAGCTTTAAATCAGCAGCTAATCGTGCTGACGTCGACCACGATGTCTTTGCGGGGGCGAGTTCGAATGTATGACTATTCAGGAGAGGATCATACTGGCGAGCTGTTTCAACAGTACAGGTGGAAGGAGAAATGTCGAACTCACATCGCGGGGGCGTAATTGTATCACCAAGATTACAGGCCCCCTCGTCACTATTCCTAGCGTGCCCCTTTGGCTTCTCTGCGAGATCCTCTGGGGATTGTGGCGGACTGGACGAAACTGAATCATCAGTTGCAATGTGGACCATTGGGCTTGTGTTAATCGGTTGGACGCAAGATGTCGGGATTGACTGCATATCGGATGTCTGAACTGGATGAATATCGGGTGTCTGGTGTTGTGATTCAGTAAAGAAGCAGGGCTTGCTAGCTGTTTCAATAGGTAAAGGGACAACTGCACGGTCGAACTCACATTGCGGGGATGCTAACGTATCATTCCTGATACACATCCCCTCGTCATATTTCCTAGCATGCCCCTCTGGCTTCTCGTCGAGATCCTTGGGGGACTGAGGCGGAACAGACGAAGCTGAGCAATCAGCTGCAATGTAAGGTGTGTCCTGTAAGTGAAAGGAGGGGATCGAGTCGTCCATAGTACGTCTGGTCATCTGTGATTTAGGGGGCAAAGGATGCTTGCCAGCGGTTTCAAAAGAAATTGGATGATTGTCGGAAACACACTCACATTGCGGGGATGCTAATGTATCAGAATTGGTACACATCCCCTCGTCAAAGCACCTAGCGTCCCTTACGGGGTCCATTCCCAGATCCGGTAAGGGTGTTGTCGGGCAAGACGAAACTGCAGATGCAGCCGCAATGCAATGGTCAAAGTCTTGAACTTGTCCAGTCTTCCAATTAATTAAGTTAAAATTCTCCTTAATCCAAGGTATACCCAGTATACCATCATAAGTATCCTTAACTCTAGTAATAATAAATCTGGTCGGTAATGAATTGTTCTTGATGTGTAGGTCAATCTCATAAGATGAATTGCTTTGCGAGCCGTCGAATCCGGTAACCACTCTTGTAGTGCGTTCGGAAAAAGGGATTAAACCTGATTTACTCGCAAGGGACTCACTCAGCACATTATGAGTTGCGCCGGAGTCAATCAGGAGAAGGGAGTCAATTGGGGAATCTGTTGGTGTGGCTCGGGGAAAGTGGGACAAAGAAAGTGTAGTACGCAAAAACAGTCGAGGATCATCTGCATTGCAAGGCATAATTTTACTAGCACCTAATTGAATGTCCACTAAATCCCTATGTTGGCTCAGGATAGGCACAACCGTCAGTCCTGAGCTACGCCATTTTTTGAAATATCAGATCTACTACCCCCTTCTTGCTTATCCATATAAATTGAATCTCTACTACCCATAGCCGCCACTTTCGCTTCTAATTCAGCAAACTTATTTTTAAAATTAACAAAACCACTTGATCTCCCTTTGCCTTTAGCATCTTTCTTCTTGTTAGGACAAGCACTCGCAAGATGACCCTGAACATTACAAATGAAACAAGACCCTGTTTTTAACCGTTTAGTGCGTTCTTCGTCAGTGAGTCGAACGAAGCTGGACGAGATGTCCATCGCATTGGGGTCAACAGTAGGAACGTGAAAGGTAGTAGAAGTATCAGAAGCTCCATGTAACTTGCTGTCGATCTTAATAGCAAGGTTGGCGATTTGTTCTAAACTGGTGAACACGTCCTGAGTCATGACCATCGCTACTCTAATTTCCTTCTTTAACCCCTGTTCATAATGACTAATAAGGGTCGGAACCTCCCAGCCAGTAGCCGTTGCGTGCATATTAAATTCATGCGTATATGCCGCGACAGAAGTCTTCTGAGAAAGATTACGTAAAGCCCTCTCGGCTTTCGATTTCTTCTCGGTATCGAAATACATAGCTCGGAAGTTGGTCAAAAAACGATCGAACGTCACAAGATGAGCCGTGGAAGCGTCGAGTAATTCGGTCATGAGCGGCTGGGCCCAGTTACTGGCAGTACCTGTGAGGTATGACAAGGCAAACACCACTTTGCTCCTATCATCGATGAATTGATAGGGATGAGCAAGTAAGTAAAGTTGGATTTGACTAAGGAAAATTTCGGCAGGCGCTCCTCTGATGCCTCCAAATTTATCTGGCGTCGACACCTTAGGCCCTTTGGGATTAGGTGCGAGCTCAGCGTGGACGTGCGTAGTGGTAGCAGTCGGCGCCGGAGGAGGTTGTGAGGTCTGATTCTGTCGAGCCATCATTTCGGCCAGGCGGCTCTCTGCATCGCGCGATCGAGCTTCCGCCTGCTCACGCAAAGTGCGTTCGTTGGTCAGAGAGTTAGACAACTCGTTGAGCTGCCGTTGGATGTCTTCCATACTCATACTCATCGGCGTCTCAGATTCAGGTGGCGGTTCGAGAGCGAGAGTTTGGTGATCGGCGTCAAAGAAAGAATGCGAAGCTTCGGAATCCGAATCAGCCTCTCCGAGTTGTGGGGTTCTGTACGAAGGTGACGTGGTGGCGGTTTCAGTATAAATGAAGTTCTAATAATCTAAACTATGTAGTTCAATAAGTTCGGTAGTTCAATCTGAGATAATGTAAGTTTAAGTTCGTTGTTCAATCAATCTATATGGTTTCAGTTCAATTCTAACTCTAATATAAATTTTAATCTGATTCTTCTTCTGATTCAATTTCTTTCGATTCGGTTTCGTTTCCTTGATTCCCGTAGTTTAGATCCGACAATATGTTAAGGTCTTGTCTCAGGGGATCTGGGTTCGAGGGAGGAATGAAGGATTAGGACCAAGCAATCTACGTTTGTTATTCAGATTGTCGGATGAGGAAAGAGTTCTACAAGTGACGTAATACAAGTTATAAATACGCTTCTTGCGTGACATCTCTCATCTCTTTCACATGTGTTACATATATGAGATTGTAACAAGAAGACGGATGATGGCTTGAATATGACAGACTGTGACATGTTTAGATGCTTCACTTGATGAGTTGACTGTGAGATGGAATGCTAGTCCAATCAAAGAGCTGAGCTGCACTGCTGTGGGCTGATGATGATGATGTTGGAGCCTCAAGGGTGTTGAAGAGAGATTTTGTCAAGTCCAAAAAGGATTTTATCAAGAAATAAACTCCTCTTTTATGTTTATGTCAAAGTAGTTTTTGACATCCTTTCATGACTGGGATGGAGTTTATATTTTACATGATTGCTCCCAAAAAACATTTTGGAATATACATAATTATAAAACACAACCAAACTTGCCCTTAAGGCTAGATGAGAGAGTTGGGAATGCAGATTGATTGTGTGACTGAAAATGTGGCATATGGAACAGTGACATCATGTCACTGACATGGCACAAGTGGATAGAGATGATTGTTGTGACTTTTGATGTGTAATAGCATACCACAGAGACACTCAGAATTGTGGCAGGGCATCTCAATGGGGCTAGACCAGAACATATGGCAAGTGGTACCCTTTGTTCCCTCTTAAATTGTTTTCCTTTATTATAATTAGGAGGATTCAGTGATATCTGATGTTACCCAATTCCACAAGACAAGAAATATCAATGAGTTTCTCATCACTTGTCCAAGATGCTTCCCGCTATTCCCTTTTCATTGCCGTTGTACCAAGTGATGAATCTGGTGGCTTCCTTCAGGGAACAGTCTCAAGTCTGTCCTTGTTCTCCATCTTCTAACAAGAGTGAAAAGCCGATGTGGAAATTAATGGTTGTAGCAGGTCTGAACACCATATAAGATACTCATTGCACTCTGGAGCCTTTGTATCATACCAACTCTACTAAGCTAATGGTCTCTTTTGATAATGACAATTCATAGAAGATCATTTGGTTTCAACTTTTGCATGCTGTTCACGTTTCAGGAAAATGAGTTGTCTTTCAATCATCAAAAAATTCAAGGATAGGCAGTGTCGTTGTTAGAATTCTTGTGACAGATAACACGGATTATCCGAGATATGAGGTGGGTCGGTCTCGTTCCCGGGTCCGTTGACTTGGTGATCTTCAGCTTGTGCGTCAGGCTCACCTGGACATTCACTCTAGAGTCTATGTACCTCGTCAGGCGCATCATCTCAAGCTCAAGATGGTGTGTTTCATCTCTGTTCGATAGATGCTCGAGACATTCATGTGCTGATCGCTTGCATCACAGACATCGATTGACCCTTCACACTTTCCCTTCATCGGTCTGACGCCTGGTTCACCTACTGGTGGCACGGCCATTCATCAACCAGCCTCACTCGATGGCGAATCATCCTCCGAGTTCCCTTCTCTCGATTCCGAAGAAACTCCAGCACCCCTGGGCGTGTTTTCAGTACCCGACTTGCGCTTTGAGCAGGGCTACCTTATGAGCATACGACCATTCTTTTATTTAAAGCCACCCACTGACCTCGATGGCATCGAGTCAAGGCTCACCCACCAGCCGATCGAAGACGACGCAAGCAATGCGGATATCGAAGATTTATTCTATTTAGGTAAAAACTTCAGGGTCAAATGGGGTTTAGTAGCTTGGGTAACAGTTCGAGATCAGGTAGATCACTTGTTCAGCATCATATTCCACGAGTCACTATCTTCGCATGTTGATAATAAAACCCCCCTTCCAGATAATCTATCCCATGATGCAAGGATGTTTGTGGGGTACACTGTCTCTATTTATCACACATGCTTGGCGGACTCGACGTACACTGAAACAGGCAGGCTCCAATCCAATCAACAAGAAAGCAGGGTTTTTGGGCAAAATGGTTGAGAATTTATTTGGAGGCGTGAAATCGAACGTGGCTTTATCAGCTTAATCGAGCATGGTGGGTTCAACTTGATCAAATGGATCCAAAATCAAGACGGGGTACAAGGGCGTCAAGTGAGGTCGTTATCACTGCTGTTAGAAAGTCTAATAAGAGTGGCACGTTTGCCATTCACTGAAGCGCTTTTGTATTCGCGGAGCTTAACTTTTCATGGTAATTGTCTTTAATCGTGTTCTCTCATTCTGCTCCACAGCGCGCGAAACTGACGTACCCCCTTCAATCAAGCCGGACGGTGATACTGTAGCTACGTACTCACCAAGCACTGTTTGAGTATCACTCTGTATGAATGAAAATTTCATGTACCTATTTTAACATCTGAGTCGATTTGGAGGAGGACTTCTCTCCAATGGCGCAAAGCGTGTTAAGGCGAGTTTTGATGAGTCCATGCGACGTTGATCTAGGCCACACTTGGACCACATGTTTACGTCCATGAAACAATGATTGTATGTATGCACATATGTTGCGGTGGTGCTACAAAGCAACTTCCCAGGACATCCCAGCCTTGTGCGATTGAGCTCATGATCAAGCAAATTCCGAGTCCTTGAAAGATTTGGGTGTCTTTTCTTGATTCGTGGGCAGAGTCGAATGCTCTAACAATCAAAGATGTGAACAATCCGCTGGCAAAGGTACATAAACACCTTTTTTCTACTGATTGATCACAGATGGAGGATCAGATCAAAGATTCTAAATGTAAGTTCATTAAAGCCATCAAACAATTAATAGACCTCAACTTTCAAGTTCAATTCTCAATTGGTGGTAAAGGTGTAGTGATCATTTAAAAGTGGTGAATGCTAGATTGTTCCTACAAATCATGAGTGAAAGAGTCTGCAGGAACATTAAACAGACAGACAGAAACATGAATCTGATGCAAGGGACTACAAGGAGATCTGGAGCCTCTGGAGTAAATGACCATCATGTGGTATATTCCACTCTGAGTAACTTGCTTTCTGTGGATTGTGCCAATTCTTTGATACACCATGAATTATTCCTAATCCTTCACCTCGACATCATCCATGGTCTGTGTTTATTAGGACAGCCATTTAGAATCAGCCAAAGCCAAAAGATGAAAAGACAAAGGAATAAGCCAGAAATCCCCCGCTCTTGCTAGTTCACAAATGCCAAAAATTGAGATACATTGCCTCAAAATCGCTCAGGGTGAATTTTTCATTCAAATCTAAAAGTCTTCAGTTCTAAGACCCAGCCACCCCTCACCAAGCTTTGGTACCACACTCCTTTCCCTATAGAAATTTTGAACTAAATCTCATTGATCCCAATCCAAGGGATATTTCTACATTCTTTTCTCCATCATCATTTGTGGTTGGCCATGAGTATTATCTCGTCATGTTGGCTCAATACATGCGAGTTGACCCAATTATATCCATCCTCAGAATTTCAACACAAGCAAACCTTTCCCTAGATACATAAAGATCTCATCTGAACACTGAGCTATAGTCACAATGGCAGTCAGTGCAAGCACACAAAATCTGATAACCTCAGCTAGTTACAGGAATATCAATGGATCTGTATTGTATGACACTAATGAAGTGATTTTCCCATGTGAAAAATGATTGCATTTGATGCATTGAATAATTGATAATGCTGATTTAATGCAGAATAATGCTGATTTAATGCATTTTCAATCCTTTCTTACTCTACATACATGTAATCACATTTCCCACATGAAAATTACTTTATGTTGGTAGTGTGAAGGAGTGGTGATAATGGGATGGTTGCAAGAGAAGACCAATAGACAACAGATTCACTTGCTGGATTCTTTTCAAGTGCCCTTGTTCATTTTACTTGGATAGGTCAGGGTTGGGTGCTTGAGCAATTTGAGCTAAACTGGAGCCAGAATCAGGGTGTAGATTTAAGTGCATATGCAACTTGACTCAAAGGCATAAAAGGTGTCCAAAATGGGGTGGAATAAAAGTATCACAGATTAGATGAAAAAGGCATAGGCAAGTGGGACCAAAATATATGTAACAATTAATGAGATAAATCTAAGAAGATGATCTTGACAGTCAGGGAAATACTTTTCAGAGAATCAATTTTTAATTCTTTGAGGAAATGACTGATAAAAAGTGGGAAGAAGCAGGGTTCATGATCACCCATTGATTATATATAGTAATTATCTCAAAGGTAAAGCACACAGGACATGTGAAATTCATGTGGCACAATTGGCTTACTCATTGTTTGCCAAGGTAATGGCACATGGAACCTGTGTTGCACCTGTGACATATTCTCTTATCTAGAAGCTTGCTCCTAGTGACCAATAATCTAGGTCAAGGTGCATCATAAATGTTAAGATCAAGTTTCTCACTATGGAAATTCCATGATATACAATCAAATGTAAATATGAGGCAAGACAGGTCTTCTGACTCTCAGCACAAAACACAATGAGATTTCATTGAGATTGAATGATATCAACAAGGGACCATCTGTGCTCTTTTACTATCCAGGGGGGCAGCTGGAGTGCAGCTACAATCTGCTGCAAGAAATACTAACTTGCTGTAGCACAACTTCTAAACACTGCATTCCAATGTGCAGCACAGCATATAAATGCTCAATTTTGAAGGACTCACCTGCCGTACAGCATCCTGAAACAACACTTTGACCTTGGATCAGCGCACTGCAAGTGCTCACTTCTTCTGAAGTTTGGCCAAGTACATAATGTGTTCAGGAAAACTCAGTATGAAGGTAGGAATTCTATTTTTGGTGAGAGTTGAATCTCAATATACTTACTTTCATGTTTTCATTCAGACAATCTCATCCTGTTCAAAAACAAACTTAATGTTATTGATCATCTTGCGGTTTTCTTTGAAAATTACTTGATCTGTTTGGGGTGTGGTCCAGGCAACTTGCCTCTTCACTCTACATCTTTGGTTCAATACCTTAAGCAAGCTTGAGTTAGATTTCTCATTTGTATACATCCAATGTAAATTTAAAATGGGTAAATTACTAATTTGCTGTTGTAGACTTAGGAACACTGTGCAATCAAATATCACAATGATATGTCTGATTTGTTTTCATGATCAATACAATCAGATTGTTGTCAAAGTCATCATCAAATCTCTAGAGATTATGTACAGATTTGGTTGGTGATTGGACTTGCCCATTGGAATCAGGTAACCCAAACTGACAGCAATGATATCAGACAATCACATTCAATTTTAAGAATCAATTGAATTGTCTTTATCAACAAAAGATTGATCATTTAGTTTTTTGACCAAATTCACCTGTTTACAATAAACAATAAATCTGTGAAATGTAATAGAAGTCATAACAGCAGGAAGCTGGTGTTGATTAGAATGTGGTTCTTCATCAGATTGGTTTTCAACATGGGATGATGGTAAAAAATGATTTGGATCAACATCTGAATTATATTTGGTAATTGGAAATCAAGTTCTAGATAAAGAGACTATAGTTTGATATTGTGGTAATGAATCTATCAGACCAATCAAAAATAAATGTAATTTTGAAATTATTTATCATCATTATTTGAAGAGGAGTTCTTACTACATACTAAATTCATTATAACTTCACACTCCAACATGTATTCAAACATGTTTATTGATCATTTGATTTATTGTTATCACTTTTTATTATTTCATTTTTAAAGCCAAAAAAAACTTTTTATGATTTTATATATAGTTCACATATAAGGTTTAGATTCAACATTCAGATTTATTTTTTATGTTTCAATTAAAACATTTCAGAAGACAGATGATATATGTCAGCAAATAAAAAATACTTGGTAATAGGAAAAATTTGTTTTTTTTGGTAAAATAGTAATAAATTCAATCAAAGGATGAATTGAAGATCAAATTACATCAAAGAAATTATCATAGTGGATTAATAAGCCTCTGGTGGCAAACTTCAGAAGTTTGGAAAGTATTTGAATCATTTTAACATAGCTATTTACCATTTTTAGTCATCTGTTGATGGAAAAGAGGGTAAAATTAGTAATGATTCTATTTCACGCCATTTTAAAATTCACAGCAATGGTATTTCACATGATCATATGAGTATCAATCCTTGGCAACAAAATTATGAATGATTTGAAGGAGTTATGATGAGTAGTATTAGCTATATACCATTTATCAAATCACAGCTTTACCACATCTTTAAATATCAAATGACTCATTCTCACACAGCAGAAACCATATACCCTTATCACAAAAGCCTGAATCATCATAAGATCATCTTGATATTTATTCTAGAACACTCAAAACACAGCATATACCCAGCATATACCCAGTAATTAATCATAAGAATAGAAATTAATCATCTTGCCTGGCAAATGAGTGATGATTAAGCTTGTAGAATGATTTACAGATCAACAGACATCACAGCAATGTCCATAATGGATCAATAAGCCACTGATGGCAAAATTTAGAAATGTAGAGAGTCATTGAATCATTAAATCATGGCACTTTACCAATATCTCAGTCATCTTTTGGGTTTTTAAGAGCTGTTAACCACTTGATTATTATTGATTTGTAATGTTGTGTATATGAACTTGTGTGCTTTTGGCAAAATTGTGTTTCCTTTTGTTCTTCATCTCTTACATAGCTTCAATTTTATTTATCCTTATAAATTTATTTGAGCAGTACTAGGTCACTCAAACCAGCCCTTCTATCAGAGGAGAAATTTCTTTCATGTTCTTTATATGACACTGTCATTCTGGAATAATATCAAAAATATATTGAGCTTATTTTTCTACATTTTAACATAGTTAACAATAAGGATGTCCAGGGCATCAAAATGGGCTGTGAGCAAGCTGATGGCTTGCCCAGTAGAATCTTGTACATGTACAACAGTATCTTGCATTGCTCGGATTTTGTGACTAGCTTTGAACACATAGTAGAATTGATACATTGAAAAATCTAACATGGAATGCAAGCTATTAGGGGTTGGGCGAAAAACCAACCAACCAGTTTTGCGCCTTTCAGAAGGGAGTCAAAGCAAGTTGATGATGGCCGGAAACGACTGTGTGCAGGTTTCACAGACCTGTTGCTCTGCCAGGTCACTCAAAATCAGTGTATGGGTCTGAAGACAGGCCTTTTCAACTGAGCTGAGCTCCGAAACAGCCTGGGTGGTACCTGGGTCTGCTTTGTGAAAGGTGGAAAGACATTGTTTCTGTGGCTTGAGTGACACAAAGTGCTTTTGGTTTTTGAATTGTTTGGGCTTTGGAATGAGCAAGAACACTGCTCACCAGTCAACTTTTGGTGATTCTTTTGCAAAGCAACGCGAACAACAAGTTTTTTTGTTGGCTTTGATATTGTTTTAGCAATTGTTCCTGAGCATTCCTAAAAAATTGAATCACAACTCAATGGCACTCAGAAACTGGTTGGTCGGTTTTTCGCCCAACCCCGATTGTGCATAGAACAAACTAGATGATATTTTACATGAACTAATAGAGGAATACCCAAGAAACTACATTGGGGTGTATAGCAAATTACAGCCGTTCCAACAATTAACGGCAGAATTCTTTGATCATGTGTCGCTCTCGAGGTTAAATCTAGAGAGGTCAAAACTGGATTAAACCCAGTTTTGCACGCAAATGAACAAGGAGGCCTGGGAGACCTGTCACTTTGAGTCGGCTTTAACTAGTTTTGACTTTTAGATCAAATATGCAACACACCGATGAAGATTTCTGCCATTAATTGTTGGAACGGCTGTAACTGATAGTTGCAAAGTTTGAAATTTGAGAGGAGAGCAATGATTTTTTTGTAATTTTCTGACATCAATTTTTTTTTCTGGGAACAAAGGAGAACATAACAAGAGAGACATTAAAGAAAGATACAAAGAGAACTGAGGTTGACTCCACAGGCCAATCCTGGCAAAGATCTTTTTACGTGATCACTTGTCCCGTCCGCGATCCCAAACGCTACTCTTGCCTGAGAGTGCTTTTGACTACCCCCATTCCCCTTAGTCAACACTACATGCCAACTTCCAAAACATTAAAGCCATATTCTGCTTCAGAACATTTAGTTTTTGAGAGTTAACCAAACTCCTCAATGTACCATAAGTTGATCTTGTCTCATGTACATAATGCTTTTCTTGATATGTATACAAGACCAACCATTTGACCATGTTACACCTCTGCAATTGATGAATTGTGATTTTCATGGTGTACTGCACAAATGGTTTATTTATTATAGACCAAGCATCTTCAAGGCTGCAGCGTTGCAATCTTCAACGCCTTTAGACTTGAGAGGTGTTTTAAAGAAACGAACTCCTATCCTCTTTGGGCTATCGGGGGTCTTGCTGAAGGTTTTCTCCTCCTACCAAATTGAAGATGCAGAGAGAATTTGATTGGTTGATGTTCAAGCAAGTAGAAATAATTCTGGACTTACAAATTTGAGCTTTGGGTTAGCGGTACAACTATTGTCCAGCGACTGTGGCACACGATATTTGAGCTCCTCGGCTGACATCCTGAAAAGACCGAAATCAGAAGACTTGAACAAGTGACAATGTTCTTACAACAAACTATCAGTGGGAAGCTTACTTTTCAATCCTGGATTGCTTATTCTTGCCTGCTTCTAATATCACGATCTGGAAAAAGATCCGAGTTAGGATTGGATGAAGAGGTCATTCTGATCTAAAACTTCACATCCACCGCTCTACTCACGGCACACGTCTTGAACATGGTGCAAGACCGATGACTTTTTGCCAACTTTTCGGCACATCTAAAGATCACAAATTACATCAGTCAGACACCACAAAATATGAGTTGAGTATCTTGAAAGAGCTTGAAGACTAACGCGAAACAGTCTTGTAATATACCACTTTCGCCTTTGCAAGTGATAGCATTTTGCCCAGATCTCGGTGTAGTGCCAGTATTAGTGTGCGGTTTAGTTACCTTCTTAACCGCGCGTCGCTGTAGATGATCAAGGGTACTCGGTTCATCAGGGGCTGATTCGCTCACTTCGAGACCAAGAACCACCTCAGTCTTCCCGAGTCGAAGGAATAATTGAAGGATGAAAGCCATGAGGATAAGAGATTTCATACTGCGCGAGGTAAAGATGTGTAGAGGATGGATGGAGGTGAAAATATATTCTTAAGGGTGTAGTGTCAAGCACCTGAAACATTTATAGGCGTGCTCTTGCAAGCCCAGTCTGAAGGATCTGCACGATGATTGTGTTTAAACAACAGCGCTGGCTTCGGGTGTCACCCAAGTGCAAGCATCACTGAGGAACCGACCTTGGAATAACACCCAGTTGCGTTACCGTGATATAGTCCAACACGAGAGACCAGTTGAGCGGAGTCTTGGAGAGGCCCATCATGTCGCCAACCTGTTCCCGGTATCTTTCGTCTGCCTCGTGGTGCTAATTATCAACAGAATGTAGAGAAGGGCAGCTAAAAATCTGACATTGAATGTTGCCTACTGAGGGGTATCTTCAGTTTGTACGAAGACGCAACGCTACGACCAACGTCAAGCTAATTAGTGAGCAGGTGTTTGCGTTGTATTCTGGACTCGGCTGTAATTTCAAGGCTAGTGCAATTCGATTGTTATAGATACTCAAGATGATATAAAATGATTTGGCAACCTATAACATCTAATGGATTTTTTGACAAAGTAATAGTTTAAGTTTAACCTATGTGGTACATTCCACTTGATTGAGGGACTTTCCGCCTCAAGATTGATCCAACGGCTTGATACATAATCTTGATCTCAATTATGAGGAAACCCAATTTGTGATACTTTGAACCAATCGTTATGAAACGAACTTGGTAAGTAGTACTAGCACACAAGCTTTTGTTGTGAAGGTTTGAAAGCAGTCTGACTAAGTAAAATGATGATGACCTGATTGGTTGTTTACCAAGCAGTTTACCATCCCTATAAATAAGTTCATCTCCTCCTCAAGATATCTTGTGTTTCCTCCATTTCTCAATTTCAATGTAACCACTCATTAACTCGCTTACAATATTGGAACTCATCCGTGTGATATCCATCTCATTATCTTATTGCTTTCCTAGAGAAGGACTACATTAACTCTGTTACAAGTCTTCGAGTAAGCAATAGAGATTACATAGTTTGCTCTACAAAATGTTGCTTCTGACATCGAAGAACGTAGACAGTCTAGAGTTATAAGGATTGCCACTTAAGCTGATACAAAGCGATCAATTCGCAAGGCAAGCAGACAAGCCAGTTGGGAATCTAATTTTATCAAACCATGACTCGTCAACCTTGGACGATCTTGGGCGATCCTAAAAATGAGGCTAAAATTAAAAAACATTCAGATCACCTTGAACCCGTTCAAGGAACCAAGTCATGTTAAAAATCAAATCTTCACGTAACCAAATTTCCTCAAGGTTTCTTGATCACAAATTTGAACTTTTTCAGAAGTCAGAGGCTTATCAAAGAAGAGCATTCCTATCGACTTTTGACTATCGGGTGTAGGAGTGAAGGTTTTGTTGAACTATCAAATAAAAGATGGAGTCAATGGAAGAATATTGGAGAAAGTAGAAAAAGATTCGAGACTTACGAATCTTAGTAGGGGTGTAACAGTACAAGTAGAGTCCAGCGACTGAGGCAAACGATATACGAGCTCCTCGACTGACATTCTGAAAAGGCCGAGTTCAAAACGTCTGAACAAATGATACATTATTTGCAAAGAAGTATCAGGTGGAGACTTACTTTTCAACTTTGGATGGCTTCCCCGTGGTCGGCTCTACTATCACGACCTGGAGTAAAAACACAGTCAGCATTGTGAAGAGGTGTGGACACTTCACAACCACCCCTCTACTTACGGCACACGTTTTGAGCATGGTACAAGACAAATGATGTTTCGACAACTGGCCGGCACATCTAAATATCGCAAAGTATACCAGTCAAACAGGATATGGTCAGGGTTGGCCTGTCAACTCAAGATCTATTTCAACTTCGGTGCGAGCTTAAAAAATATTTGACGACTAACACTAAGCAGTCTTGCAATATACCTCCGAATGGTGCCCGATCTGTGGGTCTACATTCAACAACATTGCGAGAAGTTTTGCGTTTTTGTAAAGGACTGAAGCTACTCCGTTCATCAAGCGCTGAATCACTCATATGGAAAACAGAAACCGAGTTGATGTCCCCCAATCGCGGCGATATTTGCAAGATGATAGTCAAGAGGATGTAGAATTTCATGATGAGAGAGAGGTGGAGATCTGGATTGTCGATAGTTGAATCAAGAACTGGCTGCTGTTGCCACCCATATGTACATGCGGCATTGAAGCAGAGTCAACCAGTCTCATAGTCACTTCAAATTTCATGCATTACGATGCGTTCTCAGATACGGAGGTCGAGATGTACATGGAGGCCCATCGCAAAGCACCCAACCTCACCCCGGTATCTTTCGACCGCCCCTTCGCCACCACTTGCAAGGCACGTCGTAGAGAAGAGCACCTACATAGGGCCGCCAACGAACAGACCTCGGATAACTCCTACTGAGCGTCACTGTCGGCCCATGGTCACTTGGCATCAAGATGCGTGTCCTACGGACAAGCTACAACAACCAGCGTCAAGATATTTCGCAAGGTTTCTACGCTTATTCTGGTCAGGGATATCACTTGATTATATCAAATGCAGTCTTGTTAAGGTATCAGTTTTGTTGTCTTTCTGATGCCGATAACTTTGAGGAGATGGATTTGATGATGATACACTTCCGATGATGTGACGATATTGTGGTGGTTTTGAGGCTTGATGCATGGATGTTGAGATGAGAGCTTTGATATAGAAATTTGAGTTGGAAATTCGTGATGAGTGTAAATGGAATAATTTATCTACTCTATTTGAACTTTTCTTCTCATTTCTCATGAGTTTATTCTTGGGATTTCTTAATTTGTAATTGAAGAGACGTGTTGAAGTTTGAAAGCTCAAGCCTTTCCTCTGTTTTCCTCTTTAAACATAAATTGGAATTTCGCAGTGCAACCTCCAATCAAGCTGTTTAATCCACACACAAGCCATCTTGAATTGGTTTGGTAACTTATTTCCCTTTTTACCCTCAAATCTTCTCGACAAGTATCCTAACTTTTTGAACCTTTTGCTTTCAAGGGAAGATTACCACTCTCCAATCCATTCTAGTATGACTTTCGAAGTCCAAAATGGTTTATAATTTATCAAATCAGCTTCAGATAAGATAAACAAATGGTTGATCATCAAATTTAAACTTTACGACATTCTTTGAAATTATTATCAGCAAGTCCGAATCAAAATCAATCAATACTCCTCAGCACACACACACACACACCTTCGTTTTTAATTCTTTCTTTCTCTTTTTGAGTTATCATCACGATTAATTCCGATCAATTTGGGTTGATGAACTTAAGAAAGAAAGGAACTATCATTTAATTATAACTTCATCATCTCTGTTTGATTAATTCGACTCATAGGTCAAGGTCTTGGAGTTAGACCAGTCAATTTGAAAATCGGCAAAATCACATTCTTTTATAATTTTTTCCCTTTCCTTTGCTTCACTAGCTTAATCAATAGTGGATCTTTTTGTTTGATTTCAAAGATCATCATTTGTCAAATTGTTATTGTCCTTGTTGTTTGACTTCCATTCAACTCAACTCATTTGCCTAACTTGGCTCTACTTCTTTTATTTTCATTTTCATTTGGAGATGATACCTTTGAAGTAATTCTTTCAATCAATCAATTCAAATCATCAACAATAACAACGACCTCAAACTGATCCTTTCACTCTTCATGAACTTCAAATCTATCCTTCAAACACATTCATTCATTCAACTCACCCTTTATTAATCTCAATACACCTCAAATACTTTTCAACTCAATTGAAATGCACAATCTTAATACCCACGCCTACGTCTTACCTCACCTTAATCGATTTGTTCGTCGGACTATCATTGAACCTTCTCATAACGATCATCCACACGAATCCTACATCTCTGGATCTGATCTGAATAGTAATCCATTGATAAACCTTTCGACTCCTATACATCATCAACCTAATTCCCCTATCACACCGACTGATTGCCCTTCTCAACTCGAATTCTCCAAGGCACTTGATTTACCTCATCAACGTGCTAAGAATCAGAATCCAACCTTTCTCAATCATCAATATAAAGAAGGTTGTCGGTGTCATTGGTCTAGTACTCGATTAGCAGGACAACAGGACGGCTTGATTTGCGACTCGGCTCCTCATTATTATCATCACTCCGAGACTGGTGCGGTGATCCGTGGGCCGCTCAAGTCATCATATCAACCTTCCTCCGCACATGCGGCCATCCCCGCACCTCTTCCAAAGCCTTCGCGTCCTGATCAAGATCGTCTGCCAACTTCGGCTAAGCCAGTTGTCTGGGAGGGTCATATCGCTAATCCACCTCTCAAGCCGGATCACAAGCCCATTCTCGTGCCAATCTCAATTCCACAATCCCTCAAACCTCAACCTCCTGCTCCACATACGGCAGATAAGACAACTCAGCCTTCTCATTCCCGCCCCATCCCTTCGGTTGTTAGTCCGGTGAAACTTGCTCAGCCAGCTCCACCAACAGTTGCACATCCTGCCAATTCTCACCCTCTCTCTACGGATGCTAATCCAGCGCAACACGATCAACCAGCTCTGCCAAAGCATGATTCTCCGGTCTCAGTCACTCCCTCGGTTCTGTCTGCTTCCGCGCCGGCTCAACCTCACACCTCACGCCCTGCTCAAGCTCCGGTCAACCGAGAAGCTACCGGTCCGGCAGTCACAAGTCAGAATTTAGGCACAAGTAATGGAACTAGCAACAACACCCCTGATACAACCATCAATGTTTCCCCCGGCGCTTCAGTCACTACTCCAACCCTTGACGCTTCAACCTCTTCTACTACTCCTCCCCCGATCCTTCCAGTTCAGACCTCCAACGATTCGGGTGCTAATCGACAGATGGTCTATACTTCTACTATGAGTGCCAACGGTGCAAACTATACTGGTATGCCCACGAGCCTGTAAGTCTATATCTTTCCCCAGGTCAAAGTAACATATGGCATACTGATCACACAATGACTCCTCACACTTTTCTAACCTCCCTTAGGACTAGCAATAATACCTTTTCAAACTATGTTGGCGACAATAACTTGAGCCGCATTCCACATGACTCTAGTAACACTGAATTGGCGAAAGCACTAGGAGGAACATTTGGAGGAATTATCGGTCTTTCACTCTTATTAATTGCTGGTGTTCTCTATTCACGGCGTAGCTCACCTCGACAACGAGGTGAAAGTTTTGCCGGAGTCAGAAGATCTCGTCACTCATCACTTACCGGTCCGCCAATGATGACACAAGTCACAAGTGAAATCACCACCAATGCGTCTTATGGCAATGTCCAAATGGCCTCAGTGGTTCCAACGGGTGATAGTTTGATGCTACCTGCCGATCCGGTCACACGATACTCTTCCAATGGAACGGGGTTATTGAACAAACTTCAAGGCACAACGGCAGCACTACAACAAGCTGGATTGATCACCCCAACCAGCTCGATGGAAAACAATCAGAATGCCTCTGAAGCCGCCGCAACTCAAGGTCCTTTTGAGAATGTTCATGACACAACACCTGCTGCAGGCGCCGGAAGTATTCATAATCCATTTGCAAGTGAACCATCAGAAACACATCATACGGACGAAGGTAGTGCTAGTGGTGAGAGAACACCAGAAACTATTCGATTCGGAGCTCCTCGGAATAGTCAGAGAGTTAGCGGAGGTGATCAAGCTTGGTGGGGGAGTGCTACTTGATGCTTGAGTGTTTGGATGGACAAGCTGGGTTACAATTTTGTTTGCATTAATTTATTTAGTAGTTATAGGGAAAGATAATCATCTCTTGTTTTTGGTCACTCCTCTCTCTCTCCTCAACTCTCTCGTCATATCTTCCGTGTATTGGTGAGAAGGAGATACAAGATCGATCTTTCCTACTACTACTATGCGATCGTACCTTTCCACTGCTGCATCCATAAGCATGTTTTCTTCATTTTCTTTTACAGAGAGACACTGATGATCATCAATTGGATAAGTGATATTAGGCTATCGATCTTCGAGTTTGTTTGAATTTGTTTGTATATTTCCATAATTTATACTTTTTTATTGGAAACTCTTTTTTTGATTTATTTATTTCTTAGCAAATGGTGATAACACTTCAAATCTGTTTCTCATTTTTTCTTTTTTGGTTTCACCTACTTTTTTTTTTTTTTTAATTTTTTTTAATTTTTCTGGTTTCTTTTTTTTTTTTGTTGGTGGACAGTTTTTTTTTTGATTCGTGAATCGTAGTGATTGGTAATAATGTTTTTTTGGTTTGAAATGGTGTTCATTTTGAGAGAAGGGGTTTTTCACACAAGGAATTGAGATCATAAGAGGTTTTTCTTGAGGTATCTATATTTTTTGAGATCTCAATTCTATGTAAAGATGAGAAATTGTCACAAGATTTTCCTCGAGATTCATAGGAATCATCTGTGGTTCAATTTTTGCATTCAACACTACCTCCCCTTTTCAGATGAGAAAATTTGAGGAATTGTATCATCACAGGCAAATTGTCACAAGTTGTGCATTCAGTTCAATGTAGTTTCGAAGAGTCACGTTGTGCAACATTTGCCTCAACATACCATGTCATCATCCAACCACGGAGGACAGGCATCACAAATGTCTTTGTATAGCGTCGTATAGTTGCAAAAAAGGAAGAAACACAAAATCTTGTTTGCTTGGATCCCCTGTAGTCTTCAAGCACATGTTCTTAAATCCAAGGTAGTGAACGGCTTGTTGTAGTCCCATGGCACCTGGAGTCGACATTGCGGCTGTTAAGATTCAAGACAAACAATGTAGGACCTGAGCTGCACGCTTTCTTCTTCCTCTAATTGACGAACTGCTAAATTTCTCTCGCGAATTCTGCGACGTCCAATTGCCAATAGTGATGCGGTACCACGGTACCTTAGGGGACATCCAAAAAGTCAAGACCCCTGGAACAAATGCCCATAAACCAGTATTGCACAAGAAATTGACTTTTCCTTTTGCCAGCATCGTCGATCGCATCGGATTGTATTAGAGGTACATACCAACCCATCTTAGACCTGTTGACCATCTTCTTAGCATCTCGAACCACAAGTGCTTGGGTTCGTAGTTATTAGAGTGTCAAAGTCGATTCGGTTGGTCTTTCGAAGCGCTTGTCGAATCAAACCTTCGATTCTCACATAGCCCAACATGACATTGTCGAAGCCCTCAAAGAACCAGAACGGATCAGTGGATTGCCTTTGTTTTAATCCATGTAGAAAGTTATTGAATAGTAAATTCGAATGTTATAAGGTTCGTAAGCATTTTGATTCAGCTTGAAAATTGCTATGACCGACTGACTAATCTGATCCTGTCTCACTCAGCTTAAACAATACGATGAAGGAAACATACATCGCTTCAAGCTACCCAAACAATATAATCCAACCATCGAACATAAGCGCATCAGTTTCAATTCAGATGAATTGAAATTAGAATCTAGAGAAAACCATCTATTGTCGGGTCTCTTCCCTTCAGATCGTCATGATGTCGAATCGGACCCTTCCGTCTCTCAGGCCGAATTATTGGAGCCACAATTGATTTGGATAGACCGAACTGACTTACAAATCTGGTCAGTTGTGTTCAATTCTGTGAGCCACTCATAGTTTCTATATTTTTTGGTTAATCAAGCTTTTAGGATCTAACAACTTGTATACTTTTCATAGCCCAGTAACCTCGAAGATCTTGAAATCCTACCTCTGTCAACACTCCCGGACTCGCGTCATGAAGCAGGTCTAGAGGATAAGATGATTGAAGAAATCGAACTTGATACGCCTACAGCTGTAGCCATGCCACCGACTTGGTCTTGCAAATCTGGAAATTCGAAGCCTTGGTTAATTTCAGATGG